ACTGAAGTGTGAGTATCCATGTCTTAATATATGTCAGATAAAAGTAAATTCAGAAGGTCATATCTTCGTATCCATGACTTAATATATGTCCGATATAGATGACAATCATATTCAAGGGTAATTAAAGAAAAATGAAAAGTTGCATACTATGTTATAGGGTGATTTATATGCGGGATCACTGAAAATCAACTTTCATAAAAGTTGTAATCCTTTAATTCTGTTCAATCATATCAATGAACTTCTATTATTAAGAAATCAGATCACCCCTGCTGACTATATTTATATAAAAGCAGTCTTAGCATGCATACGTGACATTTGCAGAACATAGCCAACATTGGGATTTCATGACCTAATTAAAGTTGACGCACATTAAGTGACCTAAAATGTGAATTTACTGTACATGTTTTCTTCATCAATAAGCAGTTGCAAGCACCAATTATAACAAAGGCTCTACTTCTAAATCCAACTTGTAAGGCTTAAAAGACAAATTTGTTTCCATGTTCACTAGCGTCACCATAAGAAGATGTTTAATCAACTAGGACTCGAGCAGTACTTAAGCATGAAAGCAAACACCGCAAACAAACATATGTCAAGAAATAAGACTTCAACATACCAGTAATGAAACAATCACGCTACTAACAAAATCCAGAGAAAACGAAAAGAAAAGAATTGGAAATTACCCTGATCAGCCTGTATTTGGGCTCATACTTCTTCGCATTCTCGACAGAATCATATATCAAACCAAATCCAGTAGATTTTCCACCTCCAAAATGAGTTCTGAACTTGAACACAAAGATCGAATTTGGGTCCTTCACCTCATACATTCTGCCAAGCTTCTCTTTCAGCTCAGCCTAACAAAACATGATAAACAAATCAGAAACACATTAACACAAGCAGTCTAAACTTATGCAGTTAAGATAATACAACAGTGTTATTGAGAAACATTGCACATTTACCTTGGAAACATTGGGCCTCCCAGGATGCAAAACATCGATGATCTACAAAAATTAAAAAAGAAAAACAAGTAAATAACAAGTTCCATTTTCCAAGTAAACAATTAAGTTGTACAAATAAAGCTCATTTTAATTTTAAGTTTCCCGAACAATTCATCTTCACCAATGTTGAGCGCTTCATACTTCGTAAGCAAAAAGGTCTATTATTCTCAAATGGCAAATCAAGGTAAGTCCTAAAATAAGCATCATATAAGTAAACTTACAAAAATCCAACTCTATTTCTATAAACTAACAAAAAATAAACACTTATTTTCTCTATTTTCTTTCTTTGACCGATCTATGACTCAAACTGAACCCTGCCAAAAGTATGCATTGGGGAAAAAAATCAAACAAAACGAAAAAATACACTGCAAGACTTAAATTAACGCTGGCACATGTTTGGTTAACGAGAAAATGAGCCAAAAAATGGAAATGGAGCTTACAAATTGTTTCCTGGAAAGCAACCTGTTCGTCATGAACTTCCTTGTCCTAATGGTCACTGCCTTGTCCGCCATGTTTAAGTTAAAAGAATTTTTTTTTCTTTTTTGGTTTTGACGCAGTGTAATCACCACAGGATTACAAACAGCAGCTGCAGCTCAAAGGAAGATAGTGACCCTTAAGAAAAATCAAGGTTTTATAGGGTTGCCAACGGGATCGGGTTCAAAGCCGATTAGGGTTTATTTTAGGTTTTGAATTGGGCTGAAATTTTTAACATTAATTTTGCTATCCGTAATAAGGCCCGTTAGCCTTGCTTTTTTATTTATTTTTTAAATAAACGGTTAAATTTACCTTTTTATTAACCTTTACTTCTTTTTTTAGTTTCACTCTTTAACGTTTTTTCTTTCGCAGTATCACCCTGTTATTTAACTATCAATTTTTTTCTCAAAAAAAAATACAATTTTGATGAGAAATTATACAATCAATAGTCAATTAACTGTCATTTTTTTATTAATGTGGCGTGATAATTATTTTTGAAATAAAACTAAGTTTTTATTAAATAAAAAGTAAGGTAAAATAAAGATGCGAGGGCAATAAATGAAATAAGACGTATCGTGAGATATTTAAGTCTAATTCATTTCTCGATTTTTGTTCTTAAGGATATGAGATATCTTATTCGAAAAGCATGTGAGTAATTTTATAAAATAGTATTTTATTTTTTTATTTTTCTAATTAAATTATTAATAAAATTAACATTTATAAATTGTTGTTTTAAATACAATATAAGACTTTTATGTATTTACGACTCATATTTGAACTTGGTTTGAGCTTGAAACAAACCCTTGAGCTTCATTTATAACCAAATTCGTAAGCTCACGGGCTAAGTCTAAGAATGTTTCAAATTCAAGTTTTTTCAATTATCCCAAGTTTTTAAACTCACGAGCTTTCAAGTCGAGCTCGACTTTAAACTTTGGAATCGAGTCAAGCTCCACAGTACTCGAGCTCGATTCGACTCGTTTACAAACCTAGCAAAGATAGCAAAATCCAACATAAAAACCCGAATGGAGCGAATAAAAATAAAATTAAAATCTTCATTTGAATACATACTTCATCTTCCACAAAGACCTAGCAACTATCAATAATCTTCCACAAATATTATTATAAAAGCGTGATAAATACACAAATATTTTACTACTAACGTTTTAATTTTTTATTAAAGTATACTATGTTAGATGAAAATAATTAGTTAACTAACGGCCAACATATGTTGCTTACGTGACAATTTTACATGTGATCAATTGATGGCATGAGATATATCACGTTACCCAAATAATGGCATGTCATGTGTCATATCACCTGAAATAATGACGTGTCATATGTCATGTCATTCCGAAATGATAATGTGGAATGTGCCACATGACCACAAAAAGATAACATAACACATGTCATGTCAATAATTGTTCACATGTAAAAAATATCACGTCAATAATTTTCATTCAATAGGGTTGTTTTGACAAAAAATTTAAACATTAAGGTAAAATGCTGAAAAATAATACTTGATAGAGCGATCATTTGTGCAAACATTGTGGATAATTATATTATTATGTCAATAATACACTACTAAACTTGAAGTTTACCCTTAAGTTTATAATAAGAGTTAATTGCATCATACATCCCCAACGTATGACATTTATTTCAAATTGGTCCTCGAACTCTGAAACATTTTATTTTCATCCTTAAACTGTGACTATCATTCTAAATTAGTCCTTAAAAATTTAAACATTTCATTTTCATCCCCAAATTGTTATCTTCATTCTAAATTAGTTCCCAAACTTTTTAATATTTCAAATTTATCCTAAATTATGTGTATACACTAATCACATCTCTTGCTAATAAAATCATTAGACCAAGTAATATTATTATATGTATTAAAAAAATAAAATTTAGGTTAAACTATTGTTGAAATTGATTGCATATTCAGATGGATTTGGGGATGCAATTGGAAGTTCTGAAAGTTTAGGGAACAATTTAGAATGAGATTCATAGTTTAAGGGATGAAATGTAAATGTTCAAGAGTCTAAGGACTAATTTAGAATGAGAGTCATAGTTTAAGGGTGAAATTAGAATATTAAAAAGTTTAAGGACTAATTTAAAATGAGTGTCATAATTTGAGGACATATGATGCAATTAACTCTTGTAATAATGCAAGTATATACTTTTGGGTAAATATATATTCGTTTCCTTTCTCTGTTTTGAGAAATAATGAGTTTCCAATTGGAGTGGAGGCATGAAAGGAACATCCATCTTATTCACAACACTGCTTTGAAAAATTTGACCAAATCAACACGTAACTTCAGTGCTCATTTCCCTATAATTGTACCCAAATTTGTACAACCTGTAAGGCCTCCATTTTATTATTATTACATATCAATATTTTAATAATTAACGAGGATTTAAATTAATGAAAATGTCACATTAATTAATTTTTAATATTATATTAAAATGATGTAATCCATGTTAAAAAAATATATAAATTGTTAGAAAAGATAATATCAAAGTCAGCTAAAATGATGTCATTGGAACATGGTGTGAGGCCAATCTCAAAGTGCTGAACATGCAATGCATGGGAATGGGACATGATTCTCAATCTCATTATCCATCGGGGTCCCATCTAATTTATGAACACAACCCAATCATTGAGACTCTGGGGTTAGATCCGGCATCTCCGAATAATACCAATACATAAAGTAATTTAAAATAATACGATATCAATTGGTTAAAAAAATATATCAATTCAGGCTTTTTTTTATTACATAAATAGATATTATAGTTTAAAATATATGTCTGAATTTAAGTCCACGCAAAGTGAGATACTATGAACATCTTTAACCACTCGATCAATTAATACATTATAACTTATTCGGCCCGACTTTAATTTCGACTTCAAATTATAAGAGTATTTTAAATAAAATTATAATGCATGAAAAATACTAAAAGTGAATGGAAATGGATTGAATTTCCAGATCAAGGATTAAAGCTCTTTGAAAACTTTTCATTGGCCAGCTTCCATTTAATAATTAATTAGATTTGCTTTCTGTTGAACATGACTGACCGGCCTGGCCAGCTAGAAATAGCAATTTGCCTAATGATTCATCGTCCACTCAGCTCTAACAGGTACGTGTTATAACCAAATATCATATGTTAGTTCGATTTGTATAACTGAAGATCATATTAAATATCAGTTTTTATTTCATATATTTAGAAAATGGTAGTGGGTTCATTATGATTACGATGACTTACATTCTCATTTTCCAAATTCAATCTTATGTATCAACATCATCAACTGGAGGGGAAGTTGTCCTTCGAAGAGTCTCACCATGTCCCTAACTCTTGGAGATTTCACCGGTACGTGGAACCGGAGTTGGAGTGCTTGTTAGGGGTGAATGTCGATAATGACAGAACCCCGTCGGTCCTGTTCTTGTCTTTGTCACTGCAGTTCGAAGAGTATGATACAGTCCCTAATTGTTGATTTCTCTTAATTCCCATCTGGTACTTTGATTTTAAGCCATCTCAGTTCCTGTAGGACTTCATTCTCGAAATCGTCGAAGATATCGCAGCATAATATGAGTGAGCTGTGGAGAAAGAACGATGACCTGCCAAATATTGAATTAGAAATCTTGTAGGGAGTGATGTTTTCTTTCCTTCTCTAGCTTCTTTCTCGTCGTTTGCGGTGAACGAGTGATCGGGTTTTTCGAACTCTTCGTCTGAATGTCTGTGTCCAGAGCCCTCCGGGCTATGTTCATGGCTTTCTTGCTGGTCCCATATTTCCTGGTAATGCAAATTGTCTGATTGGCTCGACTCATTCGGTGCACCATCCGTCACGCAATGCTCGGATTCCTCGACTTGAAATGTAACCTCTTCAAACCGGCCATGCATCGAAGTACATCCGGTTCTACAACGTTGAAGAAGGCGCGAGTCATTGACACCTCCATTATGCGTCAAAAAATCTAAGAGGGAACCCGTAGATGTGCGGTGCAAAGCGCAATTGTGACAAAAGTTTTGATTTGAAAAACGGGGCGTTTCCTCGATTCCTGGCCCTCGTCTCCACTCGGGTACTAAGGAGGCAATTTCTCCATCAATCATGTCGGATATTTTAGTAACATCTTGGTCAGTGATATCCAATTCTGCTACCATTTCAGTAGCAACACTCAATGCTGTATCAGTTTCAACATCGAACGGGAAATATATATTTCTGATCCGACCTGCAAGTCGACAAAAAGAGAAAGTTTGAGTCAGATCTTCTCAACGAAAAAGTTGAGAAGAACAGATGAATAAGTTCTTAACCTTCTTTATCCACAATCCGGAGTCTCAAAAAGATACAGCCGTCATCTCCCCTCTTCCCCTTGATACTTATGTCTACATTTGCAGCATGTTCATCCTCCTGATACTCGAAGAGCTCGATTCCACACGGTTCAATTTCAGCAGGATGATACCCCCATTCCTTTGGTGTTTCGTAACCATAACCGTTTGAGTATCCTTTGCAATAAGAATTACTATTGTGATGAAGTTGGAGATACGGCAGCCTAACAAGGGGACCCATACCATCAAATTCTCTCCCATAAGCATACTCTAGTTGTCCCAAATCAGATTCGCAATCATCAATCTGGAGAAAAGGATCATTTAACAACTCTCTCGCGGAAAGCCTCAAAGACACGGTCGCCAAACATTTCTCAACAAATTGTCGAACTTCGGGATCCTTAACTTTATACAAAGCATCCGGTTTTCTACCCTGAAAAGAACAAAACTTGTTAATGGAAGTCCGGTCGTTCAGCAGAAGAAAGAAAGCAAAAAAGCAAGTCAAGCAAAGTGAAAAATCCCTTACAGAGATAACTTTCTTGTAGATTTGAGCCGGATGCGTACATTCACTATAAGGATATTCGAAAGTAACCATTTCTAAAATGCACATTCCAAATGAATAAATGTCAACTAATTCATTGTAGGCTTCTTCGTAAACCTCGGGAGCCATAAACTCCGGTGTTCCTGGAGAAAAAGCAAGCCCCAAAAACGATGACTTTCATTTTATCGACTCAGCCCCCTCCCATTACTCTAAAGGTCCGATATTTATCATACAAGATGCCAAACAAAGTTCAGTTCAAGTAAACATGAAAATGGGTCAAGTTAAACATACCAACACAGTGAGCAGCATGAGATTTCCGGAGGATCGCAGCGAGGCCAAGATCCCCGATCTTAACTTCTCCTTGGTGGCCATTGACAAAAATATTATCACATTTAAGATCTCTATGAATCACTGGGGGGTCATGGCTATGGAGGTAAAGAAGACCTCTCAAGATCTGCCTACACCAATGCTTCACTGCCCTAATATTGACTCTCTTATGCTTTAGCCTATACCTACCATAGATAAACAAAAATCAAGGGAATCCCAACACAGAAAAAAGATCAAACATCTAAACTACATCAAAAAACAAAGATTTCGACATGTCTTTGCTTACTGTCTTAAAGTTCCAGAAGTGAACATTTCGGTGACAAAGTTAATGTTCCTGTTGGCAGTATCAACCCAGGAAGTATAGAACTTCATAATAGTCCTGTGTTTCAATGTCTTGAGGAGATGAATCTCACTGTAGAGCCTTTCAAGATCTTCAGGGCTTTGAAGAAAATCATACAGTTTGACTTGATTCCAAGCAACTTCAATCCCTTCATACTCATCAAATGCTCTATAACTGCAACAAAGATCAACAATCTGTGTTAAAAGACAATATTTGATGCATAGAAGCAAATAGAGCTCAAATTCTGTTTTTAAAAAAGATGCATAGAAGCAAATTTGATGAAGAAATATGAATTGGGTATTGAAAAAAAATTAAAAATATTGGAGTTTTGACTCATACACTGTCTTTGAAGCTCCTTTTCCAAGGATTTCATTGTACTGCAACAAAAGAAAAGGCCTAAAAGTATAAAAAACTGCTACTCAAAGCTCTAAAAAAGGGGATAAAGAAGGAAGAGTTAGTTTATTCATACTCTGCCATATCTTCCAGTTGGATCAACTTCAACAAACTCTGAGCAATCTGTTTCTTCAACATGTAAAAGACCATTCATCCTCCAAAGTTCAATTTTTTCTCAGAAAAAAGTCTTTATTTTGCTAATGTTATCCTTGTTTCTCCCTTTCTCCTTGTGATTACAGAGATTTATCCTTGTAAACTGTGTAAGAAACAAGGGGAGAAATGGGTTTTTTCTTACAAAATGACAAATGAAAATAAATTAAACTAATTTATTGAAGCTTTTTTGAGAGAAAGGAGAAATGGGGTTTTGGCTACTTGGAGGGTAGTTTTTCATAGGTTGGCTTGGCCTGTTTACAACACAGCTTCCCATAGACCCTCTTTAAGATAGTTGCCCTTTCTTTATTTTATATATTGATAACCTATAATATTAATCACTAAACTTTAATTGTGCTTTTGGTTCTAATTATTACATTATAAAAGATTATGATTATAACATTAATATTTTTATTTTTAATATGTTAACTATTAATTTTTTTAACATCGTATCGGATATTTTCTTTTCATTTTTTTATTATAAAATATTAGGTTTCCTTTAGTTACCATTGCCATTCACTGTTGTTATTATTTATGATATAATTGGTATCAAAATATTTCTTTCTTGCATTATCTTTTTCAAAATGGACTAAAACTAATCTTTTCTCGTCTCAATCTTTGTCAATGATCATGGAGATTGATTTTGAAACATGTTGTCTTCTCCTATAATGGATGCTTCTCATCGTTATAATTTTCAAACAAATATCTAATCCCTAGAAATGTGATGAAACCCTAAAAAAACACTTTTTTTTCCAATTTTCTTGATTCTTTCGGCATTTGAGCATGTTCTTTCAAATATGAACGGAGGGGTGTGTGAAAAAAGGAGAAGAATAATATATCTTGATTCTACGTCAATCGAAAGGCAACAATTTTATATTAAAATCAATTTTTTTTTAAAAAATTTGTACTGAAGACATCGAAGAATGACCATTCCAACAACAACTTAAAATGGAGAAAGAAAAACTTAGATGGAATGAAAAGAAAAGATCATCAAGGCATTTGGATTTAATGGTGGAGTAATTTATTTAAAATGAATTTATAATTTATTAGAAGTAGGTGAAGATTGGGCTGCGTAAAAGTTGGTCATCATTTCATGTAAAATAAAAGAAAAAAGTCATAATTTTTCGTTTGAATTACATGCTTTAAATAATTACAAATTAAGTTGTAAATTGAGTATTTGGAAAGTAAGGACTCACGTATTCAATGAAAATTTGGTTCAGGTACGGGCTTTTCAACATCTTACCCATATTTAGAGATGGATCGAGGGTTGATAGGTCATCGTTCGATAAAAAAATTTAAATTTTATATAATGTTATTATTATTTTCTATTAATAATTTATATTTAATTTTAAAAATTTATTTTAGAATATAAAATTTATGTGTTCATCTTTGCCTAGATGTCCCAATTACCCGTCAAAACAATTTAGCAGGGCCACGTGTACGGTGAGGGCGTTAGGGCACAAACTAAAGACAATGGATGTCTGAGATTCACGTGCAAATCCATGCAAACTTGATTCTGTTATATATATATATATATATATATATATATATATATAATAAAAAATATAAAAAATCATATATATAATTTTTTTAAATTTTTAGGAACAAACCATACCTAATTCCATGAATATATATATATATAATATGATTTATGACAGCTTTCAAGATAGCCATAAAGTAATTAAATGATAAGCGTTAACATGAGGAAAAGATACCAACATTAATTAATTAATAATTAATTAGAATAATAATAAAAAACATAGTTTGGCTACTTGTCATTTGATTCCGTGGATTGCCGTACGAAAAATTGGTCAATATTATACAAAAGCATGCTTCAAAAGCTAAAGCCAAACCAGCACTTAGGAATCAGGACTCCCAACAAACCCCAATTAACTCTTTTTTTTTTTTGGTTAATTTGTATATTATTATTAATTTTCAAAAATGAATATTTAATTGGGTAAAGTACACACCTTGTCATCCAACTATAGGGTGCTAACTTGTTAAATCCTTCGACTATTAAAAGTTATAAAATAATCTTTTAATTACAAAATATTATTTTGTTGAGTCCCCCAACTATTAGAAGTAACAAAATGGTCACCTGACTATTTATATGTTACAAACTCGTCATTTTTCGTTAAAAATTTGATGATCACCTGAGTTGGATGTTAACCTTCTCATTGAGATATAATAAAATTATATTTTAATATTCTCTAGTGGCATCGTTGTTGCTTTCAAGCACTAACTCGATGACGTAATATAAATGAAGAGTCGATCCATAAAATACAGTTTAAACGATTTTGGGATCAGATTTTATCATATCAAGTCAACAGGTTGACGTCCAACTAGGACGACCGCTAAATTTTTAATGGAAAAGTACAAGTTTGGAACATAAGAATAGTCGTATGACAATTTTGTAACATTTAATAGTCCGATGACTCAACAAAGCAATCCCCTATTATCGATGGATCATTTTGTAACTTTTAATAATCGAGGAACTCAACAAAGTGCATCCTATAGTCGGAGGACTAGTTGTGTATTTTACCCAATTTTATTTTACTTAACTAAAAGACCTTTTTCAGATATTTTAGAAAAAAATAAAATCAAAGTTTGATGATAGAATCAATTTAAAATATTAACGACAAAATTCAATAAAATGTAATACCTTAAGTAGAGAGTTAAAATTAAGAAAACATTAAATCGATAATAAAGAGCGAGATTAATTAGTATTGTAAGAGTTAGATGGAGATTAAGACATTGTATTAATGGAAACGTAATATTAATTTGTTTTATTGTTGGAAACATATGACTAATAAAGCACCATAGTTATCGCTCACCAAACATTTGAATTAAGAAAGTCGAGTTTCAAATAATTTAATTTCATAAGAAATGTTCAGGTAACATTAAATATTTGGGTAAATCACACCTTTAGTACTACATCTAACATTTAGTTTACGTTTCATTTTGATACTCCACCATTACACATTTAACGGTGATGTTGATGTATTATCATAAGGTACTATCATGTAATCATTGAAAAAATTTTAAAAAAAATGTCATGTCAACAGATCTTTTATTTTTTTAACGGTATGTACGAAAATGAAAACTAAACTAAACGTTTAGGTACGATTTGAAAAAAAAAACAAAAACAAATTTTAGGTATCAAAATGAAATAGAAGTAATAGTTTAGATACTAAAAGTGTAATTTTCCCTAAGTATTTTATTATTTACTTTTATATTTTATAAATTTACTTAAAAATTGACCTCATGAATACTAATCAAATAATAATTTTTATTTTACTTTTTTATTTTTTATTTGACTTAAATATATTAATTAAAGATGTTTATAAATTAAGCCCAAATAGAGTTAAATTTATTTAAAACCAAGTTTCGATGTTTAAATATATATTTTACATATTAAATCTTAAAACATTTATATATTTTAAAGGGAAATTTAGAATTAAGAAAATATATTTAAGAAGTAAATGAAATTTTATTTTTTTCAAAGTTAATATAATGATGACATATAACTTCTAGAAGATAATTGAAGTTGAATAACACGTATTGCTTACAGGATTGACCAAAAATATTATAATTTGCAGTCTATACGGAATTCAATCGATACGAACACACATTTATCAACACTTCTATACTAATATTATAGCCCTTTCTTTAAAAATTTTATTTTAAAATTTAGATATACTTGTATATTTATTTAAATAATAATATATTTTATTAACACGTTAATATCTATTGATTTTTTGTAATTTATTTTCTTGAGAAAATAACTTCAGTGACCGAAAATGCCTTATAATATACGATTTTAACCAATTTTTTTTGGATTTGCGAAAATGACCAACAAATTCGCAACACAAACTCCAATTTCGCAACTCAGTTTCCAAATTCGCAACGCGAATATGTAAATCGCAACGCGAATCTGTAAATCGCAACGCGAGTCTGTAAATTACAACGCAAATTTGTAATTCGCAACACAGAAGTCAAATTCGCAAAGCGTGTTTATTTTCGCTATGCGAATTTTATTTTCCAATTCAAAACACAATATTAGTTTCGCAACACAAATGTAAACATTATAATCATAAATCATAACCTAAAACGCTAAATCATAACTCAGTCTCATCTCCATCTCTCACCCTCTACGGCGACATCCGTCCCCATCTCCGACGAAATTCATCCCTATCTCCGGCGAAATCCGTCTATCTCCATCTCTCAAAGCCACTATCACAACCATTCACGGTCATAAATGGAAAATCAACCACCGAGGGTTAGTTTTTTTAATTATTTTTATTTTGAAATTTTTGTATTATTATTAGATTTTTCATATTTAAATTGATGATAAATTTACTGGTAATTTCAGTAATAGATTAACCATTTCACTTAGATTGCTTAGTAAATTCGTTCGGTTGCTGCCAATACTGCTAAACTGTTTAGTCTTTAACTCTGTAAAGTTAGTATTTGTCTTTGTTTGTTGAAGTAATGCAATTCATTCAAGTTTAAATTTGCAAAAGACTATTTGAAACTTAAATTCGCAACACGAAAATAAAAATCGCAACGCGATTTTAGTTTCGCGTTGCGATTTTAAGTTTCAGAAACTATTCTTCTTCTGCAAATTGAAACTTGAATGAATTGCATTACTTCAACAAAAAAACAAAGACAAATAATAACTTCACAGTGTTGTGAATTTAAGTTTCAAGAATAAACTACTACTCTTTATGTTGTCATTGAACCTGCACTAAACCTATATGTTGTCCTTTTAAATGTTTTTATAAGTGCTTACTTCTAGAATATTATCTGATGCATTTTGTGAACTATGATAGAATAATGACTTGGGTGAATACCGTGCAAGTTTGAAATATATTTGGCTTTGTTTTCACCGTTTAATATCATGTCTGTTTATAGTGTATAATTTGTAGTTTTTGGTATATCCAACTTGGTATGTTTATTGTTTTTGTAGAATTTTTTTTCGGCTTCATTGACCTTAAGGAATAAATTAAGCTTAGCCACTACAATTGCGTCGACGCTTACACCTGTACAAAGAAAATTGTTTGAGGATACTTGCTTCGGGCCATGGCTGAAAGTACAACATCCGGGTGGAGATGCTATGTTGACCCATTTATTTCTTCAGAACATGACTAACGATCTACCCGAGAAGATACAACGTGGTGATTAAGAGATATGGTTTCATTTTCCTCCGGCGT